AGAAGTTTATTGATTTCAGACATTATATTAAATTATTCGTATGGAAAACATTCAAGAGCACAATTATTCCTGTTTTACAGAATAGTAAGCTGAAGTTATGTAGCATATTGTTTAAGTCATCTATCTGTAATTTTAACACAGCTTGTCTCGCTATTGATACAGTCTTATTTGACAGTATGTCATATTTACTTATTCTGTAGGCCAGGGATTTTAGTGCAAGCTCCATTGCCTGGCAAAACTTAAAACTCTAATACCAAAAAGCCTTTAACATCTTGTAAAAAAGAATCTGAATTGGATCTAAATGCTCAAAATATTTAGAATTACAACAGAAATTACTTATAGTGTGATGCAATTTTCTAAATTTTTAAAAATTATAATGGCATACATTCTTATTAATCAAATGAAGTAGTGACCATAACAAAAATGTCAAGATAATAATGCATGTAAAAGTAGCTAGGAATGGCATGATCACTATCACTCAGCAGACTGATCCTGTGCCTACAAACACCAGCATTCCATATGGGCTCTAGTTCCTATCCCACCTGCTCCACTTCAAATCCAGCATCCTGCTTATGATCTAGGAAGATAGTGGAGGATGGCCCAAAGCTTTGGAAACCTGTATTTGTGTGAGAGATCCAGAGGAGGCTCCTGGCTCCTGGCTTTTGATTGGCTCAGCTACAGATAATTGTGACCTTTTGGGAAGTGAACCATTGGATGGAAGATTTAAAAACAACAACCACAGCAACTATCTTAGACATGTGCAAAATATGTATAAAATTTAATGAAACATTTGTGATTTTGTAAACTAATAAAGTCACAGATACTTCTCATACTTCTAATACTACTTTGGTTTATATTCTACAAACATAAATAAAACAAGTCTACATTAATTTGATGCTACTGAAAAAGATGTAGTATTTCTTCTGTACCACTCAATACACATCTAGCTTCCATCTATAGACTTTGACTCTGAGTCTGGAGCTCTTATTCTAACAAATAAATGTCAGGAAAACAGGCTCTGTGCCTGTTTTCATCATCTCCATGTCACCATGGTTTTGGCACATTGCATTGTACAAGGTTTTACTGGATGAGGGGAAGAATGCAATGCATTTTTCAGATACAGAACTAGAGATTATGATATAGCAATGAATAAGGCAAACATGCTCTACAGCCTCAAAATTGTTTTCTTCTGGGGAATACAAAGCATTAAATAAGGCCACATGAGCCTGACCAAATTATTTAACTTTCCAGTGTCAGTTTCCTTATCTTTAATAATTATAGTATGGTCTTCTTCATAGACTCAGTGTGAGAACTGTATATAGCAATCCATATTTGTAGATAAGTACATAGGCGTGTATATATATGTGCACATACATATGCATATATGTATGAAAATATACATACATGTGTGAAATATGTATACTGTTACAGAAGGACTATCTTGATCGCTTCAGAATTTGTTTTTATGAAGAAAACAGAAGCGCACTATGCTAGGAAATTGTATAAGAGATTATAATTCTAGCTAGAGAGTAAATATGTTTCACCCTCAAATTAATATTTTAGGCCGAGATGGGATGTAAACAATCACAACTGAGAGATAGCTGTAGGACAGAAGGGATTGGGGTAGAATGTCTAATGTTCTGAAAGGAAAATAGAATACTGCCAACCAAGAATACTATGTTGAGCAAGCCTGTCTTTCAAAAGTGAAGACAAAATAGACTTTCTCAGGTGAACAATAGCTTGAAGGAGTTTAGCACCATTATACCTGCATTACAAGAAGTACTAAAGAAAATTCCTTCCGTTGAAATGAAACAATATAGAGCAACATTAAAATATAAGAATGTATGAAACCCATTGGTAAAGATAAAGAAGTAGAGTACAATATTTTGATAACAATGGCAAGCAAACAAGTTTTATTGAGAAAATGTTAAAATACAAAAGTACTAAATATAGCTAAAACAGACTCATTAATGCACAAAAGTGTGTAAACTATATTAGCAACATATAATACTTGTATTCATATGCAGTTGGAATTAACTTAAAATAGAACTATACTTAAAATAGAACCCATACTAACCACAAAGAAAATGCCTAAAAAAATGTTCCAGAAAAGAGAAAAGGAAAGTCAAATTCCATTAAAACAAAACAAATACAAAGGAAGACAACAACAGAAAGAAATAAGGAAAAAGAACTACAAGATTAGCAGGGAGCAGTTAATATACATATATGCACAAAGTAAGGCAATTTTGTAATGGATGGCAGGCTGAATGAATGTGGATAATACGCTAAGTGAGATAAAACATATTCCAAAAAATATAGTACACGATCTTACTTATATGTAGATTCTTGCAAAGCCAAACTCATAAAACCAGAGAGAAAGGTTAGTGGTTACGAGGAAAATGAAGACCTCAGAGAAGGCAAATAAAGGTACAGCTGTGTTGATCAAAGCATTCTAAAGATCCAATATGCATCACAGGGTCTATATTGAATATTATTTTGCTCTGTAGTTGATATGTTCTAAGATCTCAGATATTTTCATTGCATGCAAAGGTAATCATTTAAGGGGGTGATATATTTTATAGTGATCATTTTACTTTGTATATCAAGATATTCAGTTGTGTTTCATATCATATATATATATATGTAATTATAACTTACTTTATAGAAGCAGAAAAAGAAATCCTAGCTTGTGGTTCACTCCCTAAATTTCCACAATTCTTGGCTAGAGTCAAAAGTAGCAATTTTTTTTACATTTATTTTAATTGAAAAGACAGATTTACAGAGAGAAGGAGACAGAGAAAGATCTTTCATCTGATGGTTCACTCCCCAAGTGGCCGCAATGGCTGGAGCTGAGCCGATCTAAAACTGGGAGCTTCTTCTTGGTCTCTCATATGGGTTCAAGGTCACAAGACTTTGGGCCATCCTCTACTGCTTTCCCAGGCCACAAGTAGGGAGCTGGAAGGGAAGTGGAGCAGCCAGGATATGAACTGACACCCATATGGGATCCCAGGACATACAAGGTGAGGATTTTAGTCACTAGGCTACCATGCCAGGCCCAGCAGTCATAATTTTAAGTGATGTCTCCCACAAGGGTGGCAGGCCCCGAAGAACTTAAGCCATAATAATCAACTCCTAGGGTGTACTTTAACAAGAAGCTGAAGTCCTAAGCTAAAACAGGTGTGTGAGCCGGGAACTCAGATGTGGCACACAGGCATTTCAACCAGTGCCTTAACTGCTATGCTAAATGCCAACCCCATACTTTTCATTTTAAAAGTCAAAATTTATGTTTAAAAAGTGAGATTAGACTTATGGATACATGAAACAGAAAATGCAAATTCTCTAAGACAGGAAGGATTACAATATTTTGGAATGACAAAAATATCCAGTACGGCTGGAGTGTAGTCAGAAAAAAAAAGTGGGAGGAGTGAAATCAGAAGCTGTAGAAATAAATCAAGCGTAGAACAAAAGCCATGTATTATTCTTTTATATAATTTGCAACCTCAAAGACAGGTGTAATAGCCCTGGAAGTGGTGATTTGTTAAAATGCAGGAATTTTCAGCAAGTATTTTCCGAATAACTTTGTGGAACAGTGTGTGTAATAGTTTACAGAAGCTCTGCTGAGTCCCTACAGACTCAGTTTGTCTTCCTGGTTCATTTGAAGCATTTATCAATTAAACATAAACATCTGTAAAGTAGGGATTATTTTATATGTACTTATGTCTGGAATATGTTACTTGAAAATTAAAGTTATATATTATATAAAATGGTGATTGAGCAATTGAAATGTACATGCATATGCACATACTCCATAGGAACCAGTATTTCAGAATAGTAATATTGACAAATGTCACATATGCTAAATGAATTATTCCTCATAGTTTCACAGTACATCTACTTAAGCTATCTGCTTTTTTGGTGGGAGATGAGAATTTCCCTATCCAACTAAATATCTAATAGATTGTAGAAAGAAAACCTGTGACTTCATAAATCCCCTTTCTTGAAAATATGTTTCTTATGAAAATATTTTGAATGTTCTGTGTTATCATTTCAAATTATAAATATCAGTGCTCCAAGGGAAAAGGATACTTAAAACATTTTAGAGAAAATTACTGCATAGATTTATGGCAACTTTAATTTCTTTTGCAAAAGACTGATTTACAAGTAGCATTTTAAAAATAGAAAATATATTTTTTTTCTGAAATTGCACTTATTCACTGGGTAAACAAGTTATGGGAGGAATTCAGCTAATCAGATTTCTTACTTTGGGAAGAAAGCACTCTTCCCAAGTCAAAATATCAAGAATAAGTTCAACTCGTGCAAGAAACACACAGAGTACTAGACTTTATGTCCAATCTGCAAAAGATAGCATTTTCTTAGAAAATCCTCTTAGTCCAAATTTTTCATAGAAAAACGTGAGGCAAATTGCATTTGCAAAAGTGCATGCTGTATTTTGTAATAAAGCAGAGACATGAAGCTGAGCACACAGAATCCTTATTTGAAAAGTACAATCAGAAGAGAGAGGTTTTTTTTTTTTTTGTTACTGTTGTTGTTTTGGTTTTGTTTTTATTTAACCATGAAAGGACTATTAAAATTAGTGAAAATCAGCCAGGATTTCAGTGTGAGTAATATGAGATGTTGCAAGGAACTCGGCTTTTGGTATAGTTAGAAAAAGAGTCTAATCCAAGGGCTTTGCATCTGTACAGAGGATCGAGTCGATACTGAAAGAGATTTGCAGATCCGCTGTTTTTAGCAGAGAGAATGCTCGTTAAATGCAGAACGCTGCTCTGCCTCATGTGTTTGCTCTGAGGTGTACGTTTTGTTCGACTGACGTATCAGATAGTCAGAGTGGTTACCACACCGACGTTGTAGCAGCTGCATAATAAATGACTGAGAGAATCATGTTAGGCATGCCCACCTAACCTAACTTGAATCATGCGAAAGGGGAGCTGTTGGAATTCAAATAGACTTTCTGGTTCCCAGCAGTCGGCAGTAATAGAATGCTTTCAGGAAGATGACAGAATCAGGAGAAAGATGCTGTTTTGCACTATCTTGATTTGTTACAGCAGCCAACTTATTGGCATGATGGAGTGACAGGAAAAACAGCTGGCATGGAAGGTAGGATTATTAAAGCTATTACATCATTATGAATACAATTAGAAGCTGACCATGACAAAGCATATGTTTGAACAAGCAGCTGTTGGTGGCTGGGGTTTGTTGCCGAGCTCTTCAAACTCTGCAAACAGTGTTGCTTTTACGGAAGGGATTTTAAAATTACCTTGTGCTGCGTTAGGATTTTGGAGGGTGTGCTTGCCTCCAACGTCAGGGAAATACTTCTGGGATAGAAATCAGTGTTAGAAGATTTTAGAATAAAGTATTTTTCAAGAGTCTAGGTTTCTCCAGGTAAATGATGACCGGAGAGGTTGGAAGGGGGGCAGTCTGTAGGGAAATCTACCCCGGCTCAGTTACATGCAATTTAGTTTCAAGGACTGATTGATATTTTGGATATTCAGACATTGAAAGAAATGAGAAAAATGAGAATGTGTAGAATGTTTGGCTAGGTTGGAAATTGTTCCTGTTGGTTTCTGTTTTAAAAGGAGTTTGACTGTCAGTCATTTCTCCTCATTAATTTCTAGCTTTTGAAATTTATTCAGTCATTCTGCATTATAGGAAGCAAATATATCCATATCTCCTGCAGGGTTTTTCAACAACTCTAGCATCTGTTTCAGCTATTGAACTGTATTCACGTTTTGCCAAGTTGATAGCAACCCAGCCGGTCTATCATTTCTCGCTTGATTACTGCTCTTAATTTCTCTGTATCAGCTTGTTTCGGATAGATCTCTGAAAGCTGTTAATGAAAAATGACAGAAGATGCTAAAAATTACTGAAAACTGGAGCTTTTAATTATTTATTTATTTCAGAGCCTTAATGAGTTGTGTCTTACATTCTTTCTTGCCTGCGTACGATTTTTAGAACCCTGATTCTGTTTTGCAATATTTTCTTTCAGTCGGATTATACTTATAAGTACTTTCAAACCAATGGAGCATGAGCATTAGCTATATTTGGCTCCCCAAATAAAGTTTCGGGAAAAGGGGAAACAATACAAGCTTTCTCTAGAAACTATGCATTATTTCTATATTCTATCTTTATACATTGTCAAGAGGATCTGTCAGTGAGTGCATATTGGACCGAACATACTGAAATAATTTTTATCACCACTAGGGTAATAAGAAAATAAAACCTTCAAAGCTGTTTTTAACAAGTGATTGATAGAAGCAGATGTTAAATAATATAGATGTAATTATCCTGAGTATGAAAAGCATGCTATTAGCTGTATATTATAGGAGCTTTCAACTCTCTGCCCTGTCTTTCAGTAGCTTGAGTAGCTAAATCATCCAAGTTAATAAATGATCATATATCAACATCTAATATGACCTTTCAGTGTGCACAAGTTTGCTCATGTATGCTGTGTGTTTTCTGCTGTAATTACCCAGTGAGTACAGTTAAGGAACAGACTGACTGTTATGTAACTTTTCCCCCCTGAATGTTAGCCCATGTTTTCCAGTTACGTATTCCTCTTAGAAAGAGTGAATTAAAACAACATGTATTTGAATACCAGTGAGTCAGGTAACAACTGATGGGTAGGAATACAATTTAGATTCATCTAAATTAGTGTCATTTAAAAAAATGGTCAGGAATTTGGGCGAGCACTTTTTAACCTTGAAGCACACATGACTGTGGTTGAAGAGATCATTCATAATTCTTTCATGCATCAAGAAAGAAAATAGTTTTCTAGATATATTCTTTTGCAAGTAAAAATATTTTTAGTGCTGTGATTTAAGCTAGTGAATTCTTTCCTTTTAACACTTTTGAGTATTGTGCATTCTTTCTGTAGTTCTTACCATACTTGGTTAATCTTTGGAAAGCTCAAAGATTGACAGAATATTTTGCATGCAAATCATAGAGAGTTTTTTTTGGACTTTTTTTTTTTTTTGGCTCATTGAGAAGAACTGACTTCAACAAAATTATTCTTCAAAACAAAGTCTTCTGCCAGTTCCATTTCTCAACTTTTTAATAGCCATTTGAAGTGACAATTCAAGTCTAGAAAAACTCTTACATTTCACATTTAGCCGGACTCTTCTTTTGTGAATTGTCTCCTGTGGGAGAAAATGTGAGTTTCCTGCTACTTTCGCACCCTGTTACCATAGTGACTTAAAAGGGTTTCCTTTCAATGAAGATATTAATTTAAGGCAGACGCTGGACTTCCTGAGCCTTGTGTGTGTGTCTTTGTGTATGTATATATGTGTGTATGTTTGTTAGTTTGTACTTCAAGCTTGCTTCATTTGTGACTAGAGAGTGCTCTATTTTTGATTGCACTGATGAGTGGAGAGTATAGACACTAGGTGGCACCAGCTGTTGATTATTAATGAAATCTTAAGGGCTTTGGACCACACACCTGAAGCACAGGCATACCCTTACTGATACATGTATAGTGAGAGTTGGAAATGATGGCAGATCATTCTGACTGTGAAACATAATATATAATATATGTGTGAAGTAATGAAACTATGTGAAGTTTCCCAACCCCAATTCCTTAACTTTGTGTTTCCTAAAAGATTTTGGAAAAAAATAAATAAATAAAGGTGAAGAATAAATGCATAAAAATAGAATGTGTTTATGAAAGAGAGGTGGGAAAAATGAAATATAGTATGAACATTTAAGCATATTTTAAAATTTAGAATTGATACATATTTTTAAATGTCTTTCTCCACCCCCTTCAATTCTCTAAGAACCCATCATTTAAGCTAAGGCATTTATGTTAATAAAGTGAATTCTTGCTTTTAGGTAAAAATCTATTTGAACATTTATTTTTTAATTCAAAAATATCCCAAAATTTCATTTTAGAGATAACAGTGTTCATTGAACTTTCACACATGTTGGGAAGACTGCCACTCAGGTGTGCTGCTTTTCATACACAAAGATGAGCAAAGGAAGACACTAATTGCTTAAGAAATATGGTTTAAATATTTTTCTGAGAAGCTTGTTCAACCATATTATTCTCCTTGTCATCATGTCATCTATATATATTTTTAACAGATTTATTTGTTTATTTGGAAAGTCAGATATACACAGAAGAGGAGAGACGGAGAGGAAGATCTTTCATCTGATGATTCACTCCCAAAGTGACCACAATGGCCATAGCTGAACCAATCTGAAGCCAGGAACCAGGAACTTCCTCCAGGGCTCCCACGTGGGTGCAGGGTCCCAAAGCCTTGGGCCATCCTTGACTACTTTCCCGGGCCACAGGCAGGGAGCTGGATGGGAAGTGGGGCTGCTGGGATCAGAACCAGCAACCATATGGGATGCTGGCATGTTCAAAGCAAGGACTTTAACCACTATGCTGTCATGCCTAGCCCATTTCCTCTATATTTTAAAAATAAAAATCAAATAAAACAAAGCATTTAAGCTTGTGCTTAACACGTGCATGTGCATAACCTTGGAAAATATGTTTTGCAAAGCTCTTTAAAATGTGAAAGCCACAGAATTTTTTATGTAGTTTAGAGTTAATAAAATAAACTGAAGAAAGTCTGAATTAGAATAGGAATAAAAAATAACTGATCATATCCAGAAATACCTTTCCCACAAAAATAAGCCAAAGTTTTCCCTCAGTGGAAATTCTTGAGAAAGAGTATAGTTTTCAAAAGAACAAATTCAAGCAGCTAACAGTCATATGAGAAAATGCTCAGGCTCCCTAGCTATCAGGGAAATACAAATAAAAACCACACTGAGATTATATCTAACTCCAGTGAGATTTACCTATATTCAGAACTCTACTAGCAATATCTACTGGCAAGATATGGGAGAAAGGTACTCTATTTCACTGTTGGTGGATGTGTAGGCTAGTGCAGCCACTATGGAATTCAGTATGGAGAGTGCTTAGATAACTTAGATAACCATATTACTGAGTTATCCCATTCTTGGAAATATATCCAAAGGAAGTGAAATCTGCATATGAAAAAGTGACCTGCATCCATCCCTATCTATATCAACACACTCCACAAAAGCAAAGACATGGAAACAACCCACATGCCTGCCAAGAGAGGAGTGGATAAGGAAACTTTGGTATATGTACTCCATGGAATAATACTCAACCATTGAAAAGAATGACATTCTGCCATTTACAAGAAAGTGGTCCTAGCTGGAGACCATTATGCTCAGTGGAATAGGGCAATCCCAAAAGGACAAATAGGAAATGTTATCTTTGATATAAGACAACCTTCATGCAAAATACGAGATCAATAGATATCAGTAAACATGTGTATACATATATTCTCATAAGTGAACTATATACTGGATACTAGCTTACTGGAAAGTAACAATATGTTGCAGCATGCATCCTTACCCCGAAATAAAAGGAGGACTCCCAATCAAACTCTTAAATATACCTTGACAATATGATACTAGATTTTCTACCATTGCCTATATGTACAACGTGATATTACTGTTAAATAGCAGAAAGATGGACTTGTAACTGTTGCTGAAGGACTATACTGTCTAATAATATGATGGGAAATAGTGAGGAGGTGGAGAATAGGGATGGAGGAAGGGAAGATGGGGAGGGGAATCCCTACACCTACAAAACCATATTATGGAAAATAGTTATATACATTAAGTGTAGGAATGTAATGATCACTTTGGGATAAAATTGTCATTCTTGGCTTATGTTTATATTCCAGTGGAAATGTAGTCTTATGATCTTTCTTATGAATAGATATAAATTATACTTCAGCAAATACTGTTGAAAAGAAGAGAAAAGCTTTTGAAGGGAAGCAGGGAAATGAGGGAAGTATGATGGCTTTATTGACATGTACATATGGGATTATAAAGTCTGATCTCTTCATAATAATAACAAGTTCAAAAATTCAAAAAAACTGAAAGCCAAGTTTTATTTATTCATTTTCAAAGTCATAGTTAGGGAGAGGCAGACATAGTGAGACTGAGAGATTCTATCTGCTTGTTCATTTCCAAGATGCCCACAACAAACAGTACTGCGCCACGATGAACCCACAAACCACAAGCATCATCTGGACCTCCTATGTGGATCACAGGGGCCAAAC